TTGTCACGCCTGGGAGTGTCACGATTACGATCGGCAGCAATGGTAAGATTTGGGGAATGATGGTCTTCCTGAAGTTGGGTAAACAAGGAAAAAAGCATGTGGGAGGGGGTTTCTTGGAAAGAGAGGAACTGTTGCGATTTTCGGGAGAAAGGGCCACTCGGATTTTCTGACTTGGAAAAACAGTCCACTCTCAGAATGTAACAATGACCCATTCCTTGCTGTAAGGCGTGTTTTAAGTATCCATTTACACCTTGCTTTTTGTTCTGTTCTTTCGTTTATTGTTAAGATGGCTCAGCTGGTCGTGAACCTGCAACAGGAGAACAGACCGATGATGAAGGTAAGCTGAGGAACAATTATAAAATAACACATTTAATAATATACATGAAAAAAATTACGCGCGTCCGATTGGCTGAAAACGAGTGCATTTTTGTTGTCTCTGAAAGCTGTGCTCTTGCTTATAAACACCAAATTGCACTCGAAATCATGTTGTTCCCTATACAAATTCACTCTTTACGAGTGTGCTGCAAAGTTGGGAGTCTGAATCTTTGAGAGGAGCTAATCATGACCTTCTGACCATCAGCGGGATGTTTCACCCGAGAACTTTCAATTGGGATCTCGTAGCGAGCCTAGATATTTACTTTGCTTAAATGACGTTAAGTTGCCATTGGCCTTCAATAGTTGAACAGTGAAGAATAGAAACGAGGGGTATGGATTGGTTTCAAGGTGGAGTGGGTGGGGATTGAAGTTGGATGGCTGCAGGGCGCGGAGATTGGTATTGGGGTGGAGTGAGTGGGGATTGAAGTTGGCTGGCGGAGCGAAGTTGGGCTAGGTAAAGATTTTGAGATGGAGCGGCTAAGGATTGTTTCATATTTATCTGTTTCCTTTTTTTTTCTTTAGATATCTGCTTTATTCCGCTCATCTTGCTGTGTGTTGGAATAGGTTTGGTGTCTCTGGGCATAATCATTTTACTCGGGTTTCTTATCAAACTGTTCTGCTGATAACGAAATAAAAACAAGGTAAGAGCGATCTTCATGTACCACCCGATAGATCTGTGGAGAAATTTCAGTTGAGGGTCGAAAGTCCTCCGGAAGGATTAGAATGGTTTTGTTTTACTTCTTGCTATGATTGGTCGAGAAAACTTACACCATCCTCTCAACCCGTTAGATATTCCACTGAAACCAGTCGCTCATTGGTTCCTCACGTTTCCCGCTTATCTGTTTTTACTTTCATGCTCACTTCTGCCCCTTGTAAAATTTCCTTTACTTCAAATCAGTCGTTGAGTTGTTTTAATTTGGATTGAAACGTGCCGCTAAATGGTGAAGTTTTCGTACATATTGAAAGTGCAATAACGTATTGAAAGTGAAATATTACCTGTCTTCATGAGACTTCCGTAAGATTTCTTACGAGTAATTTCATGGCCAGAAATCTGTGACAGTCAGCGGTTTGAAACGGGGGCTCGTGTATCCAAAAAAATTCCTACTACGCATGCGTTCTTGCATCAGATTACATACAGCAAATTATGGCGAGCGGCGTAAGGGATTCGAGCAAGAATAGCTGCGGTTTATTTCTTCAATTACACAATGTTTCTTCCGCGGACCTTCTTTGGGATGAAAAAAAAAGTAGAAAAAGGAAAGCTAATGTTTCTTCTGATTATTTTGCCGTGGAAAGGTTAATCTCGAGGAGGACATCACATTTATAATCACCACCAAGATATAATTCAGTTTGAATCTCTTGGCCATCCACATTCATTTTACCTTTGGCAGTCAAGTCATTTACCTCATTGAATAAACTCTGGAATGAGTCTTTTATTGTGTGGTAACTCTCGGTTCCATTGACTATGCCAAGAGTTCTGTTTCCTTTTGCAGACATTACGGACTCCTCTGTTTGCAGAATGGAAAATGAAAGTAAAATAAAATTTGAATTTCTTGTCATTCTGGCACCATCACCATTGATTTTGATTTTGATTTTATCAGTGATGGGATCAAAGTCACTGTTTTGCTTCAGGAAATCAGAGATATGTATTTTAAACACTGTTTCAGCGGAAGTTACTTTGGCCCCTTCAAACTTAGCATTCAGTGGTTCAATTTTGCACATTTTGTTCAGTTGATCACGGCATTGTTTTACCAAGTAGGACCTTGGTAGACTATCCGTGATCATGGAAATTTCGTGGTAAAATGAATCCCCCACACAAAATTTGTCCAGTAAGAAAAGGATTTTTTCAACATTCTCTTTTTCATGTGTGGACAAGGTACTATACTTTCTTTCTCCTGCTTGACTGGGTAAATCTTGACAGTTGGGTTTACTTGTTATGTTGTGAACCACATCACTGTCTGATTCTTTGATAGTTAACCCGACTAGTTCAACACCAAAGGAAGAGCAGAACCAGAGAGCAGCTTCGGCTCGTGAAATAAAAGTTTTCAAGGTCCTGAACTTATTTTTCACAGTTGAAAGAGGTTTTCCCTGGTATGAACTAACTCCCACAGAATTTTCCAATGATGCAATATAATCTTCAAGCTCTTTGTTTGTTTTCTGCAAAACTTGGGTTTCATTTTCCTTTTGGTTCACTGCCAGCACCATTTCCTCATAGATTCTTTCCTTCTCCAACTCTAAATCTTCATAGGCCTTTTTCCAATCTTGTAGCTCATTTTGTATGTTTTCAATTTCTTGATAGAGTTCATGTACAGGTTTTGTTTGACCCTCCATAACATGAAACTTTCGGACTCGATTATCCAACTCTTTTCTTGCCCTGCCCTTAGTTTTTTTGTAATCTAATGAAATTTTATAAGCAATATTTAACAAAGCTTCATCGATTCCATCTCGTATATTTTCATCATCGCTAAAGGCAAAGCATTGCCCGAATGTGCACTTTTCCACCAAATCTATGTAGCTGAACCTTTTTGCCGTGGGTGAGTTTTCTGCTGCGCTTGTAGAAGGAGAATTTGCCTCTATCTCTTCACATCCGCTTGACAAATCTTGACCGGAAGTGTCACGCGGCAGAACGTTTCGTTCTTGAACAGTTTTATGCCATTCTCTAAAAAGAGGATAAGGAATTTCCAAAGTAAAAAGCACTCTTTTCTCTTTTTCCCTCGCCTCATATCTTAATTCCGGTTGAGTGAATTTGATTGCATCCTTAAAACGCGAGCAACATTGACTAAATTCGTCGCTCATTTTACTTGCAAATTTTCGGAGATTGTGTAACGCCATTGCACAATTTATTAAAGGCACGGTTACATAGGTCAAGTAAAGCATTTGGGGATTCAAGATGGAGGACGAAGGGGCTAGAAACTACGGTTGACGGTCGACTTAAAACATGGCGTTTTCCCGAAATTTTTCTTGGGTTTTAAAAATGGCGTCACATTGAGAACTATTTAGCAGTATTTGGGCCGTTTTCCACCAAGTTTGGAACCGATTTAGTGGCTTCAATGGCTCCTATTTTTGCACTATAAATGAAGTTTAGCATGTGAACAAATCAGTTCGATCTGGAAGAACATCCCTGTGAACCCGTGAAGTGGGTTGATTTTCGACAATTTATGCTGCCTTCGGACAGTTATTAAGAAAATGTATGGCGGAGTGCGAGGATTTCTACGTCCAACAAAAATTGCTTCGGGAACCGCTTTAACACATGCAAATGCACACAGAGCACGCAGCGAAAGGTTGTACATATAATCCACTTTATTTTGCGATCTGGAAGAACTTGTCTCCTCTGGCGGTTGTAACACAGGAGCAATTATTAAAAGAAGGTTAGCTGAAAGCGCACTGTTTTCCTTGTAGTGATTTTGCGACTCGTTTGTAACCTAAGACCGAGTTCGACATCGATGCGCGTGCGTGGCGGCCATGCTGTCACGGATTTCTGGCCATGTATTCGCTCTCATGAGTTTCAACCGAAAAAACAGCTGCCCACGGCACATCTTCCAAAAATGTCATGAAAAAGCGCCGCATTGTTATTGGTTGATACCAAAGTGATTGAGTAGACTCAAAACAACTTTGATCATGCGCAGGCTCCATGTGTGGATCAAATATGTCAAAGCTTCTCGCACAGTTTTTATACATGTTAATCTTGTGTTTGTTTAACCCGTTATATTTCAGTAGAGACATCTTAAAAAGCTAGACATCATGCAACCAAAGGAAAGAAGTCTTCAACTAGATCAAACTTTATCGGGATTCGTATGTTACCTGCTGAATGAAAGACTACGAAAAAAGACTCATTCGAATTTTACCCAAAAATCTTGGTTTGACGATGTAAATGATGGATTTTATTATTGACACCAATCTGTAACCGGGGTTCGCCGGTGTATGTGTATATTATTAAATTTTGATACTCTGGCATCTTAAGTTTCAGCTTTTAAAATTATCTATGTATCGAAATTCTTCACTTGCATTTCAAACTTAAAAGGAATATTTGTGAAACTTTAGACTAAGGAGGAACTGAGGAGAATGTATCATTTAAGTGGCTGGATGACTCGTCAGTTTTGTTCACCGCTGAGCCGACGACATAAACCTTCCTCGTTCACATTAGAGATGGTGAAACAATAAATGAATATATTTTTTTGATAAAATAGTACGTTGTACAGGCGATGAGTTTTCTTTTTCAATAAAAATGAACATTCCACCGTCTAATAATCTGACCAGTTTCATAAAAAAAAATCTGAAATCTTGGACTTCCTCTTCTGCAAAAACATGTGGAAAACGTTACACTCTTATGTTACCATAAAAACAACCCTCTTGGAAGTTACCAAGTAAAGAGCGATTTGACCAGTGGCCATATTTTTCTATAGAACAAAAGAGAGTCGTTGCATTGACTTATCAAAAATCGTACTCAAAAGGATCCTAGCTTTCAAAATGGCGGCTGGTCAGCAAAAACCGTCGCCATTTTTAAAACGACGAGGCCCCTGGGGACGAAGTAGTGGCGTGTGTTACTGCGCCAAATTTGATTTGTTAACATTGTTAGAAACAAATGAAGAAAGACCGAATGAAAAGAAAGTTTTTACTTATCCTTTTTTTTTTTAGCAATCACTTGTTAAAACTAGGATAATTTATTCCAGCTAAATAACCAACAATCTCCCATTACTTTTCAAGGCTATCTAAAATTAGCTATGGATCTTAGACGGGTATGAGGGGGAGGATTTAGCCTCCTTTCCAGGTGATATTTCGGTCGTCAACCCACATCTTAGTCACGAAAACCGTGACGAGTACAGTTGCGTGACGACAAACATAAAAAGCGCGAAACAGCATGGAAAAAAAAATTTACAATAACAACAACAACAAACAAACAAACAAACGAGAAAAAAAGTTGGAAAGTAGACTAGATCCCCAAGTGTTTGAAAAAAACTCAACGTGCTTCTTGTAAAGATAATTACCATTAACCAATATAACATAACAGTAGCAATCTGTACATTTTAGGCCCAATTTGATATCGAAGTAAACGTAACAACTTTTTGTTCATTCAAAATCGAATCGTGGATATTTGCTGAGCCCATAGAACTTTCCAGCAGCGTTTCGAAGGTAACTTAGAGCAACTTGACGCAATGTCAACGAACTGTACCAGACAACGATCAAATTGCTTATGTTCAATTTTTATCATAAGTCTTAAAAATAGCAACGTCAAGATTGAAAATTCAATGTACAAAACTATAGTGAAGTAATAGAAGTAGTAATCTATAAATATAAGGAAAAAAGCCTTCTGAATGAAGGAACCATTCTCTGGTGAAACAAATCGATTATCCTCAAGCAATTAATATAACTTACGCTTTAAAACGAGCTACCTCGAAACGGGGCCTGTGCGAAGTCACCAAACTTTAATAAGTAATTTAGTTGAGGAGTCAGAAATAAAGTACTTTGTCTTCACGTCGAACGGATCAATTTAATTATCTTAGCTACTGCGCACATACCCCTCCCCTAACCCGACATTAACCCTGGCTTGTAATCAGTTGACTGTTGTTGGGCTAGGGGAGGAGCTGGTACGCAACTACTTAGATAGGACATTGATCTCTTCAAATGTATGATCGATTTCTGTGATTCCTGTCTTTTTTAGTTGGACTACAGTTTCTTTCGAAATCTTTTCTAATTTGTTTATCTAAGGCACCACGTCGCATTTTGTGAATCACCATCACTTACTCTGTGGTAGACTTCCAAATAAGACAATAAATAGGCGTCTAATTAAAAAAAAAAAAAAAAAAAAAAAAAGAAAATAAAGAGTCTGACAGCATTACCATCTTTTGCTCCCTGGAGATTTCGAGTTTTTGAGTTTGACGAAGAGAGTTTGGTGGCTTATGTCAGGTTATAGAGGAGAGGACAGCCAACGGCGAGTCTATAGGTCGCAGTCATTCAATCAATCTATCAATTGATGAAATGCAAAACTAACTTTTGACGGACCGAGGTGATGATCTTGGGTCAACATAGCAAACTCTTCAAACCAACCAATGACGGTACATTTTCTTCAATTTAGCAATAGGTATAAAGTAGAACTGTCAGTTTAAATATTATAGACAAGTTTTTCGAAATCTGTAATTATACTGTTCATTCAGAGATCCTACTACAATCCCTGAGCCAACTCACAGCCAGTGGTTTTTAATCCTCCTTATTGAATCCGTAAACGAAAACGTTCCACGTATCTGTCCCGACGCAACTGGCCATATTCAGCGTAGGTCCGTATCACGTACTTAATTCAAGTGGTACTGATAAGAAGATGTAATTCTCTGCTTGTCGTCGTTTCCTTTGTGGAGGAATATGGAGTGCACTTCTTCGCCATATTCAACATAGATCTGCATTGTTTACACGAGTTGATGGAACGGATTTTGATTCTAGTGTAGACAGCATTTACTTGGCAGAAGAATACGCGGTGCAGTCAGTCACCAAAAATGCCTTAAATTCCAAGGCTAACGTTCGTAACTCGGGCAGATGTTATGCCAACTGTTTTCGCAGTAATGATAAGAGCCGAAAATATGGACTTAAAGGAACCACTTCAGATAATCAGAATCTCAAAAAAATTTCGCTTAAAACCTTCAAGTATGTCATTTACAATCTATTTATATCCTCTCAATCCTTGATCAACCTAGTTCCCTCTTGGTTTACCTTTTCCATGTTGGTATTTTTTTTTATCTTACAAAACTAATATTTTGTTGTTTCCTTCCCGTTGAAGGTAATTTTACACGCAGCAAAAAAAATTGAGACGTAAAACCTTTAAATATTCTTTAGCACAAATTTCTCTCCAACACATGCAGTATAGTACAATCCACGTCGAGGCAACATGACGCTGCTAAAAGTTCTGTTGCCTTCTTTTCTTTGCTTCCATAGCATCAAGGATGGGTTGTCTTTTTGCTTGGTATCTAGACCGAAGTCCTTCAATTTCTTTTTCCATTTCCATGTCCAGTGTTTGCATTCGCCGTTGCAGTTCATCGCAAGGAAGAGATCTTAACTGTGGAAGAGAAAGAATCAAAGGGAAGGTTTTAGTCTCCTTGATGGACACTATACTTCTTTACAGTTCATTAAAAGTTTCAAAACAAAAGTTTTAATACTAACAAATTCAAAGTCAGGGGGGCCTTCCTTCTTAAGTTTAAAGGGATCTTCTGGTTTCACTCCCCTCAAAAGTCCTCCAGAGTCTTCTTCAGAAGAACCATTGGCGCCAGACTCGCTTCCTCGACCTCCAGCTTCGTAGATTCTGTCAAAATGATCCATAAAGGACGGACGATAATTCTGTTTGGCGTCACTGTCCAGTCCTGTAAATGGAAAGAGGTAAGGAGCGCTCTAGGTTGAAAGATTGAATCACTGTTTAACTAGATATGACACGTGATCTAAAAGAGAGCATCAACAGTTCAGCTGTGGGGCATTAGCCCTTGGTATAGTGTAATCGCGGGGAGATGTGGTAGACTGTAGTTGGCTCTCTAGACTACGAATCGAAAAATACTAGTGCTAGCTCTGGCAGAAGTCATGGCATTGCGTTACTGGACAAGCAATTTCCTCCAACAATGCCTCTCCCCACTCCAAGGTACCAAATTTTCCGGCTTGACGGGTTAATACCATTTTGTACAAAGTATGGGGCTTCGCAGCGCGTGCGCTCCGCTATAAAAATGTGTACCGTCGAACCGGCAGGGAAACCTGACGAAAATCTACTAAGGTGGGGGGGAGGGGGGGGGGAAACCTGAACCGAGATCCAACTAATCTCCTATTCACTGCATGCTCCAAAGATGAGATGTTATTTCAATCTTTCACGTTCAAGGCCATTAGATAGAAATGCTTTAAAATATCCTTTGGGATAAATAGTTTAACATTGAACATCATAAAAGCTTGACCTCTCAGGTATTAGCCTTATGCAAGATATGATCATAACATTGGAAGGAGTCCTAAAACCGATTGTTGACGGTGACTGAAGTTTACACAATTGAATAGAGCGCATGGTTATTTGAAATTTATCTAGTATGTACTGTGCTTACTTTTCATTGTCGCGTCTTCGTCGTCAGAGTTGATTACCATTGTTCCAAGATCTGACTCGAGCAGTGTACCCGCCTCACTGTTAACAATCATTGTATCTTGGCTCTGAACACTCGTTGCTGTGTTCATTATCATGGTGTTGTCATTGCCATCGCCGAATTTCACAATCGTCCCTGAATCCACATGTTCGTCACTCTCCTCAGTCTCATCCTGCCGCGAAGAATGAAAGCGGTTTCGATATAAATGAATTTAAAAAAACGAGTGGCAAGAAAGTTTTGTCAGGAGTTATATTTGAGGACTGGCGCTTAATGCGCTTTGTAGTTCACGATAACTTGAATTTCTATTTAAAAACTACAGTGAGTGGCAAAAGTAGCTTGCACGCCTCCGATTAGTAGGAAGTCGACAACCTTTCATTCCACATAACGAACAGAAATCTTGTATTTATTCACTAATAAATAACTTGAAAGTCCCCCGTTTCCCCGCCTTCCCCCCAACGAGATGAAGCAGAGGTGAAGATAAATGAAAGACAGAAAGTGGCATTAGAGCAATCAACACTTTTGTCCGTCGTAGTAGTTTTGCGATTTTCTATTAAAACAACATAAGAGAAATTCTACTCCAGTAAGTTTTCGCTAGATGAAGAATGTTGTTGACATAAAATGATCTGATAGTTTCCAACCAAAGTAACAAATCGTACCTCGTTTTCCTCCCTGGTGCTTTCCTCCTCCATAATATTCAGTGCCTCTTGAATCATGCTGTTTAACACACTTACAGACTTAGCACTTTCAATAAATGGATGCTGAGAAAAAAAAAATTTACAGCAATTATGATCGATCGGATATAAACAGTTCATAAAGGTAGAATTTAGGGTTCATCAACTTCCGCTTCTACACTGAAGTTTCCAGGACGAGGAAGGCTGCCGAAGTTATCTTGAGATGTTTTTGTTTGTTTGTTTGTTTGTTTGTTTTTTGGGGGGGGGGGGTGTGACAGAGTCTGCGCCAGAGATTATCCCGATTTCTGTACTCTGAAGCGTCTAGGGGTATAGCTACTCCCACTGGATGGGATTCCGGTCCATCACAGATGACCTCCACATTTTGACAGTTTACTAGTACCCAGTTATACTCCTGCAGAGAGGGGCACTGTGAGAATAAAGTGTCTTGTCCAAGAACACAACACATTCAGTCCAGTCATGTCTAGGACAAGGTTCTCTTGGCCCTAAATTCAGCGCATTAGCAATTAAGCCCCCGTGTCTCCCAAGTTCAAATAATACGGACTCAAAAAATAAACGTCTTCAAAACTCGTAATATCCGGATATATGACTTAAAGGGGTTCAAACAGTCCCAGGCCTCGCCCTTCAGCTGAGCACCAACACTTGCCTGTAACAGCTGTGTAGCAGTCGCTCTTTCTTCTGGATTCTTCACAAGACATTTGCTCACAAAGTCCAAGAATTCCTTACTCCGTCTTTCGTCATCTTTAAATGTCGGAGGGGGTTTGGTTGGAATCATAAATATTGCCTGTAGGAGAAAATAGGGACAAAATCATGTTACTCCACGTCAACGAAATCGATGACTTGAGTGATTATGTGTAAATGATGGAATGCTAGTCTATCATAAGTTAATCCCAATTAAATTGTTGACTTCCCCTCGCAATTCGATGGTAAAAAAATTACACTCCAGGGTAGACAAAGGCTCTCAGGGAGAGTAATGTCTCGCACTAAAGTCCCAGCCAAGGTTTGTAATCGGACTTCTTGATTTGCATCCTGGTGCACAAACAACTTGCCAACAGAGCTTCTTGCATCGTTTGACTCGTTTATTCCTATTGCTTCGAACTTCTGTACAAACAGTAACTGGCTGAAGATGGCTTTGATACAAAGTGAGAATTTCAATTTTTCAGTCATATTCAACGAGAAAAAGAATCTAAGACGACCTGCTTGGAGAATTTTTACTATGAAGTGTGAAGTTTATACTAACCCTCATTGGATGAATGTCAGCATAAGGAGGTTTCCCTTCAGCCATTTCTATTGCTGTTATTCCTAAAGACCAAATATCTGCTAAGCAGTCATAACCAATTTCCTGAATATATAAAAAGAAATAGAAAAACACATCTCAACAAATGAAATACAGATCAGTCAATACATGTTCTACCCACTGAACTTTTTCAGTCTAGATTAAAAACCGGTTGATAGAAAATCTTTAGTTCTAATGGTTGGAATGAAGACAGAGTTTAGGTCAATAAAGGTGCCACCATCAGATTACTAATAGTCATTGTGGTGTGTGACGTAAGAAGTCACGCTGTCACGCCTGTCAGTCTCATATTCATGTATCACGTGTGTCGTGGGGATCGTTTGGCTGCACGGCCGAGCTTAGATATATTGTCGGTAAATAAATCTCTGTTGTGTTTTCTTCACATCTCACACATATTTTGGACACGGATAGACGCCATATGCTACAGTCGCCTAGTTTTCTAAAAACAGGCGATTTATTTTTGGCTGGTGCACAGGCCCTAATATCACGTAAACCGTGAGGACAACACTAATTACTTTTGCTGCTTCCACTTCTCTCGTGTCTTATTGACATAACAACATTCCAGTCTGAATTCTGCAGGGCTCACAATATTTTGACCATAATTAAATACATTTTTTTTCCAACAATACTGTTAAAACTTTGACCTCTGACCTGTATCACTTCAGGAGCCATCCAAAACGGAGTTCCTATTACAGTGTTCCTTTTTGCCATTGTATCCTTGTTGAAATAAATTCAGAATTTATAAAGTCAAACACAAACATCAAACTTCCATCAGAAAAAATTAGGGAAAAAAATTAAAAAAAAAGCTCAATAACCAATGAACATTAAGAATAGATGGATAAATTACCAGGAAAAATATTTCTAGACTTAACATTTATCAACTCTGTCAAAAATAAAAGTTCCACATTAAGTCCTCCTTCCAAGAAAATATATAAAGAGATGCAATTGCAAACAAGCTGAGCCTCTGAAAACGGAGGAGGGTAGGTCACAATGTTGCTTTTATTTTGCTCAAGATTGTATCATGGATATATTAAATGACCCAGAAAAGCCCAGACTTCAGACAAGCACTCCCTCCATGTAAAGATACAAATACTGGTAATTTTAGGAACACTTACAGTGAGTTGACCAGCAACTCCAAAGTCTGCAAGTTTGGCATGGCCTTCTGCATTAAGCAGGATATTTCCTGCCTTGATGTCTCTGAAATAAGAGAAAGAGTACATCTCTTGGAATCAACAAAAATGGCTTTAATGCTTTACAAGCAACAAAAATGAATAACCCGTGTGGAGCCATCATCATCATATCTTCACCAAAAACCATGTCTAGGTTAAGGTCAACAGTGTCAGCAAACTTTTACACCAAGCACTCTTAATGAAAATGGTTGTAAGTCAATTGTTCAAAAAAATAACTCCAGTGCAATGACATAAAATTCACTGATTCTTTCTTTAATAAACAATGTTTTAAAATAAAGCAAAGAACGCAAACCTGTGTATTTTTCTTCTCAAATGAAGATATTCAAGTCCCTTAAGAGTGTATTTCAATATACATGCAATCTCTTCTTCTGTCAACTGAAATGAAATCACATTTTCATTGATTCATAATAAATTTCATTTTGCAGTTTCACAGTGGTTTTTAACAATCACACACATGTAAAGCTTTATAGATGATTTATTCACTATTCCTGTTGATTTACAGTCAAACCCCTGTTCCATGTAACAAGCAACTATTGCACTTAGTTTGATTGCATGTGTTTTGACTTAAAGATATGGAAAATATTCTCTGTCACTTTTCCTTCTTCAATTCCCTTACCACAGTTTGGTGTAACTAGAAGATATTACCAAGCTGAACACAACATCCACAACAGTTTTACTTACAGTTTTATTTCTTATTTTCATTAAATCTGACACTGATCCTGCACCACAGAATTCCATAACAATCTGGTCAGAAAAAAGGAAATGGATATTATAATAATAGTTTTATTATACTTGAGTAGTCGACACATCATTCAAAAGAGTGATGAAAATGTGATTATGCACACAAGTACTCCTAACAACTCTATAATTACTATATTTTCAACTCTGAATATTGCATTTCTATTGTTCTGATTGGCTCACTCAACTCCAGTTACCAGCTCGTATTGTGAGTTACCTCATATGGAAGAAAACACAGGAACAAAGAGAAAGAGAGGGGTTGGAAAGAAGGAATAGCACTTATCAATGCCCCTGTAGTAGCTGCGCCACTGCTTCAAGATCACATTGATTCATTTCATTCATTGTAAAAAGATAAAATGAAAATCATTAATATCTACCCAGAGATCTGTGTTCTTGAAGTAGCTTCCATAATACTTCACAACATACGGACTGAAAAAAAAAAATTCAGAAAATCATTTGAAGACATTTTAGCAGAATTATTATTATTACAACTTTTCGTTTAACATTGAAGTGGTAAAAATTTTTTAATTCAAATTTGTAATTCTCCTTACTGCCAACCGTACAATTCATATAATGTTAGTACAGAGAATTTAGTATTGGATCAACTAATCCCCAAATCAATATTTTTCTTTATTCTCATTACTTATCTGGTTGATATTGTATTGATATTATAAGGAGGAATTCTTTCTTGGTCACTCATGGGAGTTAAAGGCTTAAAATAAAACAACCACAAGTCTAATTTAACTAATTCACATTTTTCAAGAATATAAAATGAATTACCTATCACACTGCTGCATCATGCTTATTTCTTTTATAATCTCCTGCAGGTCTGTGTCAACTGGTACTTGTTTGATAGCAACAACTTGACCTGTTTCCTTGTGCATTGCCTTGTACACAGAGCCATAGGAACTGGCAAGGAAAAGAAGATTGATTATTAGCATATAAGCCAAACAGTCTGAAATTTATAGATTTATAGATTTCTGATAGTAGTTCATCTTGGCACTAAACCATCCAGCCCTGCCTCTCTTCCCCCCTCCCCCCCACCCACCCACAAAAAAAGCATTTTTTAACCAGTTTGTTCCAATCTCAACAAACCCTTTAGCTCTCAGATGTGATTAACTTATAACTTCTCCCTATAATACCCATCTATTATCCAGCAAATACGTAATGAGAATACTTAAACCTATCAGGTAGAAGTTGTTATCTTGATCTAACACCAAATTATCACAACTTACTTACAGGAAATATGTAACAGTTTTTAGGGGAGAATAAACAATCAGATCTTGGGAGTTAAATAGTACCACATAATAATATAGAATCTCAGAAAATTTCAAAACCATACTAGATTGGAACTACAAACCATTTGTTTAGGAATTAAAATTTACCTATTTTCCTCTTATGTAGTTAAATATTTAATTTTATTTCTAACCAGGAATTCAGTTAACAGAGATGTATTCTATTTCCAGTTGGATTATAAGTTTTCAATCAAATAAAATGGTGCAATTAAACCTCATTTACAACAGTGAATTTTTATGTTTAGTTCATATATAAAGGAAAGCATGCTGTATACTGTATATTTTAATGGTAAAAGCTTGTCAACGATACTTCCCAAGGAAAACTTCTTGGATCAGGAGACCTTCCTATTTACCCTTCAGAGAAATGCATGCCATGGAAGAACTCTCAAGAAACATGCTGCTTTAAATGCAACTTATTTTCACAGCACACATAACATCAAGAGTCGAAAACGATGCAACAGAAAATTCATCCTTTTCAGTTATAGTGCTTGTACAACCTCATAGGTAATGAACAGCCTCTTTAGAACATTCTACGCTGGCAATAATCTCGAAAGTGAAAAAAGGAACAGGCAGCACGGTCGCTAAAGTAATAACATCAAAGAAATTGTACTGAATAAATTATTCTCAATATAAGCTTGCTTAACAAATTTGTTGGCTTCGGTTAAGTTTATATTTGTGACTTCAATTTATCGCGCAATTCATTTGTACCAAATGCATAGATTTAATTCAACGATTAAGAGGAGTTATTCAATAATTAGGACATAAAAAATGAGTTTCTTCGAAAAAGGGTTCGATAAAAAGCCGGCTATCAGATATATTGAACTTTGATATATGTGCTGAACTTTAATAGTCCCGAAGGCCACTTTTTGACTAATTAACTTAACTAACTTATGTATGATGCAGACAGGAAAATAAACTTACCCTTCGCCAAGCTTTTCGAGAACATCAAAGACTTCTTCAGGTGGTCTAGTCAAGCTTTCTTCGCTTAATTTCCGTAGCTCATTCCTTGTTAGGAAAGAAAAAAACTTTACGTTTCCGCGAGAAGTTTCATATTTTGATAGAAGCTGAAATATTCCGACATCGATGCATTTTAGAGTGTGTAAAAAATTTCATCGGGAAACATACCCTTTCGCAGACATCTTAAAAGAAGCAGGTCTAGTAGATTAGCTCATGGCCGTAAGCAAAGGGATTAAGCCATCATAGATCGCCGTAAAAATTCAACTAATTTCCTCTATTTCGGTTCTTCTAGAGTTCTGCAAGGCGACAGAAGGAAGGCATGACTATGGTGAGCCCGCGATCATTCAATAGGAAAGGAAAAGAATACAGCCTCCTTCCCCTCCTACAGAGATAATTCTGGAAAAAATTAAAAACATATGTCTATAATCTTTTTTTTTTTTTTTTGATAAAAACGCATAACGCGAAAACTTCTTCAATTTTGATAATTTCAATTTTCTCCTTCGCCAGCACAGTCAAAAGTCCTTTGATCTAATTCAATTGGTGGATAATCCATTACCTTACCCACCCGTTCCATACGACAATTTTTATTTATAAGCAGCGTGGTCACACAGCATAGCGTCAACGTAAGAGACAATATGGCGGACCATGAAGATGTGTTGTATTCAAATTCAAGTAGGAGGGACGATTCTCCAGGTGATCATGACCTCAGGAATGAAAGAGAAGGCAGCAGAGAAAGTGATCATGACGACAGAGATCGGCGAAGAAGAGGCGGTGAATATGAAAGAGATTTGAGGCGAGAAAATCGTCGGTACGCCCCGTATCCTTCTCGCGATGAGCGTTCGAGTTCGAGGCGACAGTCTGGAAGCGGAGGAAAAGAGTGCCGTGTTTACGTGTGGAACCTTTCATATGCTGTTAAATGGCAAGATTTGAAGGATTTCATGAAGAAGGGTAATACTATTATTGTTGTTAGTGTATTTAAAATAGTTATGTCTTGCCTGTCACCATATTCTAAACAACGGCGAGCTTAAGCGACAGGTACATGGAGCCACAAGATCTTTTTTGACAAATAACAATTAATAATTTCCTTTAGACGAAATCGGCGATGGCGAACCATTGTTTTTGTACTGGAGGCTACGTTCTAACCTCAAAACGACTCAAGGGTTAAAGTGATTTTAAATTAGGTGGATTTGTTTTGTTCTTTGTTTCGAACAAGCTTAGTTCGCATTAGTCCTTAAGCAAATCAAATTAAGGATTCAATGCATGTAAATGTTGATTTGGTAGTCGATGATGTGAATTTGTATTGATACAAGTATACAATTTTTTTCTAGTCGGAGATGTGGCATTTGTTGACATTATTGAAGACAGTCATGGAAAATCAAAGGTACAAAAACAAGGAGAGAGTTTTAATCTATTTTTAATATGTATTCCTGTGGTGGAGACATAATTGAAAATGACAGTATTCCATATTTCGGATGCACCCCTCCGCCCCTCTCCTGAGGATGGCAGGGTTTCTAGTGAAGAGGATCTAGAGTTTTTCTCCAACGAAGCTGACAGCATTTATTTTTTTTAGGACAATTTTTTCAAAGGAAGTGACTAAAAGGCAGTCTCTTAACCCATATTTTTCACAGGGCACTGATATGAATTAGAAGATTTTGATGTCTGGAATTTTATTGATTTTTAGTGGGGGGAGGAGGGATTTGGGTGGATGGATAAGAAATTGAACATTCAAAAGTATGACAGAACTTTTACATGTTAATCTGTTGCTGGAACTGGAAGGGTTGAATTAGTGCACTTTAACTCCTTCTTTTTTCTTTTTTTACCTTTTTGCAGGGATGTGGGTAGGTGACTACAGTTTACAAAGATAGTCATTAAATTTACAGGAAAGTAGAACATTTTAAAATGAATGAAATGATGGCATTGTATCATTGATGATATTGTAACAATTTAATAATCAAAAAATTTCTATAAATCTTACCAGTATATTTCCTTTTCTCCAAGTATTGTTGAGTTCAGAAACAGAGATGATGCAGATAAAGCCATCAAGGAGCTTCATGGAACAGAGTTCAGAGGAAGACCAATACACATTCGTGAGGTATTTTGGATGAAGAATGTTTACTAGTAAACCCTCCACTGATAAACTAGCTCATAGAATAGGCATAATTCTGGCAAGCAAGTACTCAATACTTTGTTAGCAAAACTTATAACCACCATGTTTGGTTTCAATGGCAGCGGAAGGCTGGGAAGGGAAAGAAATTTGTACCAAGGGGGTGAGGTACAGTCAAAAATAAGGAGAAGGGTGGAGGTACCCTCTACCCCCACCAATTTCCTCAGACTCCCAATCAAACATGGCCAGTCAGATAAATGATCACAAGCTTATAATGTGAACTTGCCCTAATAAGATGCCTGCACTGCAGGCTAATGATGAACTAGATGCAAGTTTTATGTCTTAGGTGTAAAATGTATTTTCTGAATATTTCTGTGGTGCCTGTATACTAAAGTCTAGCATACAAACAAATGGACTACCACATCTCTGCCTTTAAACCAAAAACTTGACTCTTGATTATATTCTCTTCTACCAATCAGGATCGCATTGAAGAGGGTGATAGGCGTAGCAGGCCTCCCCCTAGGGGTCCTGACCCAAGGGATCTTCCCTCTCTCACTGGAGGGGGTATGTCTCTTGGTAATCATCTGGGAGGTGGTCTTGGAAGTGGAAACCTGGGCCTTGGAAACAGCAGTGGTCCTCTTGCTAACCTGTTAGGCTTGGGAAATCTCAATTCTGCTCAAGGACTGAATTACAGGACAGATCCATTGTCATGCACTGTGTTTGTCAGCAATGTAAGTAGGCTTTGATATATCTCTTACTAATTGAGTTAGAGGTCTGCACTGTAAGTCATGGCCTGAGTTTTTTCCACTCAAATTTATCGCGAAAGCACGAAGCATGCAAGGCGTAAATGTGAGCGGGCAACTTGGAGCGAGTAATTTACAGTGCTGATGGTGAAAACAATGTTAGTGACATATTTATTTTATCTCTGGTTGCAAAGAAAACACAAACTTTTGAATTTGGCATTACAATAAAATATGGCTTGCTAAATTGACCATTCATAGTGCATTTACTATTTGACAGATGCAATAAACATTCATTATCCACTTAAGGTAGTCCATTATCAAGTAAATTTAAGGGCTCAGGGATTTATGTTTACCTTTTTCCTCCTAGCTTGATTACAAAGTAACTTGGCAGAAATTGAAAGACACCTTCAGAGGAGCTGGTATGATTTTATCTGCACAACATACAGTCTACATGGACTTCTTCTGATTTCCTTTTCAAACTTTCAGTTCCATTGTTTCTTGTTCAGTTGGTTCTAAGGAATCTTCTTTCAGTTAATGTTATGATCATGATTGTTTTGCAGGTAATGTTATTCGTGCAGATATCAATTTGGACTCTGATAATAAATCTAAAGGTTTTGGCACTGTACAGTTTGAAACAGCTGCAGAAGCAATAAATGCAGTTTGTATCCTTTTTTGTGGATTATACTCAGAAATATGAAGAGTTCTCTTTATTCAATTGGATGAAAATTAATGGTTTGCAGGAACTTAAGAGGAAATAAAATTAAAAATTTTAATGGAACTTTTTTGTGCAACTACATGTGCATGCATAACAGTGATAATAACAACAGTGAAACTGACTACATAGTGACTTAGGGCCTTGAATTTTTACTACTTTTTCTTTTGTTTTTCTTTCTTTTTTTTGGGGGGGGGGAGGGGGGGGAGGGGGGAGTGGTTTTGTGCTCTATGGTCATTGATGATTTTTCAAATAGTAGCCTGCTCCTTTTTGTTACAGTCACAGATCCTTAACTAAAATCAGCTATGTTGCATGGTCATGTTCTTAGTGACAGAGCAATGAGTGTCAGGCTGGTAAGTTAAAAAAATTTGTGATGTAATTAAGGAGCCTTGAACCATTAGCTTTATTCATTTATTCACTTGTTTATTGCATTATTTTGACAACGAGTGGTTCCTTGACTTCTGTGGGAGGATGTATCTGTTTAAGGTTACCAGCAAGGAATTTCTCCTAACTTTAGCCTAAAATTTGAGAGAAGAAAGGTGATGAAAACGTATTTTCTGGTTTAACACCAAATCCTTTCTTTGAGAAATGTATGGCAGACAATGTAAAGAATTGATTGTTAGTTCTTGGGATTGGAAGGGTCAAAATGATTTAACGTTTAAGTAAGGTAAAAAAAATGATTTTTAGTTTTTCTTTGTTATAGAGCTAAAGTAATTTGTACCAGGAACAAATGAAAAAAATTGAACTTGTTTTAAATCCTTTTGACCTGAAACTTGTTTTGGATTTCAATGTAAATATATGCTCTATTTCTTTGTTCTATTTGTTCATTTATTTTCATGCATTTACTTCATTGAAAATTATGTAGGAACATGGTGTGTGTTGGAGGGGGGTGGGGGGAATGGGGGCAACTGTGATTGATGATTGACTAGCATCCAGTTCATGAAAATTAAAGCTCAGTGTTTAGCAGCTTAGATATTGCACTGAGCTCTGGCAGGCTTAGAAATCATTCTCAAATTGATACTTAAGCACTTTCCTCACAGCCACAACAGAATGAAAATCCATTTTTTCCCCCTCAAGGATCGCAATGCACCCATTATGCAGCAGCTGAGTAACTTGGGTGTGAACAATGCAAACATGGGTCGTGGAGGAGGAGGAGGAGGAGGAGGGGGAGGAAACAACATGAACCCCATGGCAGTTCTTCAGCTGCTCCAGAGTCTTCAGGGTCTGAGTACCCTGGCACAGTTGACTAGTAATCTTGGTGCATTGGGCGGCAGTGGTTTGGCTTCAGGTGGTGGTTTTGGTGGAGGGGGAGGAGGTTCTGGTGGTATGGGTGATTCCCCTGCCACTAACCCCCTGGCTGCTCTGAGTGGATTGGGAATGCTGGGCAACACTCTTGGTTTTGGCGGAGGAGGTGGTAGTGGCAGTGGTAGCAGTAGTGGAATGGGTGGGCTTAGCTCATCACTCCATAGCGACAGTGGAGCTTCAGGAAGACAAGTCTTTGTCAGGAATGTAAGTAACTGAATCTAAGATATAAATTGTTAAAATTGGAAAAAGAGGGTTTGGTTGAAAAAAATATAACTTTAGACCATGAATGTCTCATTAAAAGTCTCTCTTGTCTTCATCATACCTTACTATGAATTATCAGAATACACGTCCATGAGTTTTTTTCGCTCATAAGATTGCTCTTCTTGTAGCATGAAAGATGATTTTAATTGTATTCCTTCAATTTGACTTTGAAATTTCCACAGCTTCCTTGGCGCTACACTTGGCAAGACTTGAAAGACAAGTTCAAAGGAGCAGGTGATGTTATGATATAATTTTGAAAAATAGTTGGCATTACATACAGGACGCGAACAAGAAGTGACCGAGTGGTTATTGTGCTGAAATGTGATTCAATGGTTCCGAGCATAAGGCCTAAGCCGAGATGGACTAGCTCAGGTTGTAGAGCGCCGGACTGCCGTGCGGGAGGTCGAGGGTTCAAGCCCCAGACGGGACCAACATTCAGAGTCTTAACATAACTAAGGAGAGTGTGCAGCATTTGCTATGACAACTGCAAATATTGTCCAGGGGACATTGAAAAACCCACGTTCTTCTCGCAAATAGTAAAGAACTTATCTCCCGGTTTTATGGTCTAGTCTTGTCTTCAGAACTGGCGGTAACTGAAAAAATTTCCTGTCAAAATCGTAAACTGCTCAGTGGGATTGGCCAAATTCCAAAGCGTATCAGAGCATAATAACATGGGTGAAATGCAATATGAAAATGCCACATCATGGTCTAAAACAGGTTTTTTTGCCCACAGGTAGAGTGGTTCGAGCCGACATCATGACAGAGTCCAGCGGAAGATCAAAGGGCTGTGGAACAGTACTGTTTGATGCCCCAGAGGACGCTGCTCATGCAATAAGTATCCTTTGAAAGTGAAAAAGTGTTTTTATGTTAACAAAGAAGTCGCTTGATTAATTATAGTACCTCGCGCCTCAATGATTTTCGTTTTCCAAAGCATTCGTGTGTTTTCATTGGCTCCTTGTAACAGTTACATTGATTTGATTGGATGCTGTGATTAATTTGGTTTTGGTTTTAGACATAACTAAAACCTACGCGCTTCAAGCTTATTCCTTGACTTCGGTTCAGGTATGTTCAATGGAGCGATGGTTGATGGTCGCGAACTTGATGTGAGGATGGATAGGTTGGGCTGAAAGGGAACGTGAAGCTGGGCTCGAAGGCTTTCTGGAGTGAACTTCTGATGTATTTGTCTTCTTTTGGACCAGCAGTTCATGTTGTTAATTCTCTTCTTTGGAGTTATTGCATCCGCGACCAAATTCTCCTTTTCGTCAGTCCAGTTTGCCTTCCAGAGGTGGTCTGTAAATCTGTGAAAAAAAAGTTGTTCAAACCGGTACAGATGTGGAGTGTTTGCTAAAAGTTTACAAAGGCTCCCTGAGGAAGGATTGGAGTTGAAACTACTCGGTTGTTTTATCATGATTAGTCTTTTAATTGTCGTTTTCCCTCTACTTTTGATTAACTAGCATTTGGACGTGTTCATCTTTGTCACCTCGGTCCTACACTTTGCCTTTGATGATTGGCAAATTGTCTTCTCCCCATTTGTACAACGTGATTTTGAAGTTACTTGAGGATTTTGTCGATACGTTCTTGGCTGAGAACAATGCTTATTTCAATTTGGTTTTAAAAATTGTACGTTGACCCTAGTTGTTTTCGCATGGACGAGTCGCACATGTTGAAGCACTGACTGACTGCTTACTTTGTTAAGAAACAACATGCAGTATTTGACAGGTTTTGGTAGTAAGGTTTTATTCTTCTTCCTAATAGGAAGGTTTTGCTTGAAACAGGATCGCTCTTGTAGGGTTCTCTGTTTAGTTTCGAGATATTAAATGACCTTGAAATAAATGGCTTGTTTCTCTGTTGGGGTGAGTTGCCAAAAGTGATGTGTGTGAGATGGGTCGGGAGGTACAGTGGTAAATGACAGCGTCGTATTAAAGGGTGCGATGTGTGTTCTCTAGGTTTTTGTATTTTGGTGCTGTTATTTCTCTATATTGGTCGTAGGGTCATGTTATGAGTGAGTTTTAAATACGCGATCCCATTCGTTAGGCTACAAGCGTAGAAAAAAGAGGAAAATTAGAGAATGGAACCTCAGACCTTCGGATTTCCGTTATTTGACTCTGCCACCGAGCTGCAGTAAACTCGATGGCAGTGGTAGGGCATATGCGAGGTTCATATGTGAAAGTGAAACATGGTTTGATGGGAGTAGATTATTCGACGAAGGAGTTCAAAATTTACGATCTCTCACGAGAGACTTGCTGTAGTCAGGCTTTGATATTACACTTAACAAACCTCAGATCGTACATTTTGGGTGTGGTTGGGTCATGGAAAGCATGTAGTGGTAGTCTCATATCATGGTACCGTGAGGTGTTAATATGGGTGTGGTGGGGTCATGACATAGGTGTCGTAGGGTTATTTTATGAGTGCCACTGCACTTCAAGGTCGTAGTTGTTGTATTCCTGGGAGACTGTTACGTCATCGTAGGGTACTGCAAGATCAAATATCGAGAAAGGCGCGTCATGTCTTTCTGGGGCAGCACTGAGCAGAGGAGTGATTCCTCTGGCTGCACTTGGCAAAATTGTGCCAAAGATCTTGCCAAGCTCCTTCAACCAGGCGATTGTTACTTAGATTGTCCAGGAATTTCTGGGGGAGCTCCATCAAGTAGATGTGTGTAGGTCGTGAAGAGGGGTCTAGTAAATCTCAAGAGGATGGTAAGATTACCGCCAGGGACTGGTGCGGGATGTTGCCTCAAACGCACGCAACACGCACGAGTGTGAATATAGTTGCCACAAAGAATCGATTGTGTCCACAACAGGGACACGAAAAGCATAGCGTTTATTCAAGATCTCCACGTTTTGCACGTTTGTTGTCATTATATTGTCATACGGTTCCTTGTCAGAAGTAATGAATGTGGATGGAAATAACGGTGGCTGATTCATATAGGTTAAGTTCTGCGTATCATCCCCTCACTCGTGAAAAGCACTAGATTCACAGGTAGGTGCTATCATTCTTTTGTTCCTAGATTCGGATTCTTTTGCTTTAAGATCGCCTTGTGGGAACCCTATAGTGCTGTAGTAAAGTGAGTTCCTTTCTTTTGTGACTAAAACTGGCTTGAAAGTCGTGAGACATGTGTCAGTCCATCGGTCTTCCCTTGGATTCCATAGGTTTATTGCATGGGAACCGGAGGGTCGTTTATGAAGTTCCTCTGGAATGTGATATGGTGGCAAAAGGGCGTCAAGAGTTACAGTGATGCGATTCTTGAGTGCCTTGATGTTATTTGAGTTATGTCGTCGTGTTCTACCTCGGTTTTCGAGTGACTGCGGTTTGGGAACTTCATGATCAAGATGTTAGTGTCGCAGAGTCGTGATTCGAGTGTTTTAGTCAAGATACTTATATCTTTGTGTTCCATTTAGGTTATTGTGGGATTGCTTCATGGGAACTTAAAGTTTGCAATTTAAGTGCCTTAGCTTCTTAACCCTTTGACACTAAGAGTGATTAGCATCTAATTTCTACTTACAATATTACCCTTGAATCATACATCGAGGTCAGGAGAATAATGGAAATGATCAATAAAAGAAGATCTTGACTGCAGAACAAATTCTCCTGGTCAGCACCTTAGGAAATGTATGGAAAAAATTATGGAGAATATGCATACTAATGTTAGGTTGTAAAGGGTTAATACTTTACGCGGGCCGTTTGTTTTTGTTTTGCGAAGTTGGATTATCATCAAAATGTCGCTTGCATGTGACGTACGAGCCGCAAGATGTGGTTGTAGTCCTCAAGTGTCATTTTAATTTTTTCCGGCGTTAGCTTGTGTCCCAGCCTCGAGAAGAAATCTTGTTAAAATGACTTTGTAGGCCGGGAAATGTTATCGTAGAATTCTAAGACTTGCGAGGTTCTACACGACCCGTACAAAAACTATGCTTTACTTTTGTAGTGGGATTAAGGTTCTTATTAACCCTTTGATTTTACCGAGACCTCCTTTGCTGACATTGCCGTGGCATGAAAGTCTTCTAGCTGAGAGCCATTCTATATATCGGAGTGCTTTCGAGGGTTAGCGAATCTATTTATAGACAAGTGTTCATCTTTGTGGGCCGTACAAAGCCTTGGATATGATGGTTCGTTTTCTGCCATACTTTCTGAGGTTCTCACGCCAAAGATGAAGTTAGTTCTGTCTTGCAGTAGTATCAAGGAACAGTTTTCCCGACCTCATAATATTTCAAGGGCCTAATGGACAAAGACAAGTGGGGGAATTGTATTTTAGGGGAGTATCATGTTATCTCTCGCGATTTCTATCATTATCCAACTAACAGGTGACGGAAGAAGAAAAATTTATCAGTTAGAGGCTATTATCTTGTTCTAAAACCAAATTCTCTCTACTAATTTATTACAAAAGCAGCTGAAAGGAAGAATTGCTGATCAGATCATGGAGTTCGTAGTGTCAAGCTTTCGAGCAGCTTGAAAGGAAAATTATTTACGCGATCTTGAGGATCTGAAGTAGTAAGCTTTGCCGCTGGTGGAAGGAAGGTTAAATAAATAAACCTAGTGGTTTAACAGGGTAATTTATTATCATCAACTGAGTTGAAAACGTAAATTGGCCACCGTAAAGAGTTTACAGGCTGATGTTTCGAGCGGTAGCCCTTCGTGAAAGCTAGGGGTTTGAGATGTTAGGTGTTGTTTTCTGCGTGGAAAGAGCAGATACAAAAACACACGTCATAAAGATTCTTTACTATGAATCAGCCCATGAATTGTATCACTGGGCGATATATGAAGCATGGCTTTGAGCTCCAGATGCCTCAATGAACACACGTCACCGATGCATTGGGTAAGTGTATCTCCCTACATCACATGAAACAGTTTACTCAAGTAGGATTGCAGTAATTTTGTAATAAAGTAGCCTTATTGTGACTTTTTCTATGAATAAAACAAAACCTTCGTGATTTTTCGTTTCCGTTTTTTATTTTGCAAATACGAACCCAATGTCATTTCTCAGATTTCTACTCAGCCTTCTCTTCCCGCGGCTTAAATGAGACTGGTAACGAGGTCCACCTAACTCCGATATGTTTTGACCCGTATAAGGAAGACTGGGTCTAGTACACGAAGTCGATACTTGAGCGTCTTTGTCCACTTCCCAAGAAAACTAAGGGAGAAGAAACCTCTCGTTCCCTTAAGATTTATTAAGACAAGTTTGGTCAAGACAATCACTCCTTTGAATACATTCTTGCTTTAGTTTAATTATTATACAAGAGCACAGATTGGTTCTAAAACTTTAGAAGACGACCGAGTTGAGCATGGCGCCGAGGCACTGGACGATGTCTGACGTCATCATCACTTCTACGCTCTCTTCCAGATGCCGCTTGGGATCCTAAAAGAGGAAAGGAAAAAAGATATTTTGATTTCACAAAATTGCGTCCCCTATCATGATGCACTTTAACTTTGAAATGAGCTCGCGCTCAGTGGAGATCAAAGAGCAGACCCGAGATAAAAACGCGGAAACAGAGCCTTGTCAGCCGGTTCTTTCTGAAGTGAAGGGCCCCTAACGTCGGCGCTTGGGGCATAGCTGGCCAAACCAAAAGATCCTGTAACAACTGACCTGTTTTCCGACATTTTTTATGGCCCGTTGTTCTGGAGTCATACTGTCTTCCTCCTCTACAGCCTAACAAAAAAAAGAGTAAAGTAATTCATGTAAAACTTTTTGTCTAGGCGCAAAAAGAAGGGGTCTGTTCACAGTCTACTTTAGAATAGTAATCTTACCTTGTGGTAACTCTTGACAAGCTCCAACATTTCCTGGATGAAATTAAAAAAAACTGCTTCAACACTGTATACCGTCAACTCGGAACTATTCTACAACTAGTTGATGTAAACTGAGTGATGATGCAGCCTTCGTTCAACTCTCGCAACAGCAACGAAAGAAGCAGTAAAGGTTATTAACATACAAACGTATTTGTCAACTATATTGGATAATTCTTTACAGAGAAACTACAAGCCTGCTCGCCCTTCATTCGGGAGGGAAGTTTTTACACCAAGTACATCTATCCCTTGAACAGTTGAACGAAATTGGTTGAATCTCTTGAAGAGCCAGACATTCGTGCAAAATTACACACGGAGAAATATTCCAATAACAGTTCAATTCTGAGGAGTATATATTGTTTATGCTTTGACTCGCTGTAACGATTTTGTAAAGTGAAGCATGTTAGAGATTAAACTTACTTTAACTGTTTTCTGATTCAATGCGCAATGGTCGTCATAATCTTGCAAAGTTAAACCGTCCATCCATGTCTTCTTGTGCAGATTCAACAACATCTGAAGAACAACAACAACAAAAAACACTAGGGAATGAGAGTTAGGAGACAAGAAGCCCAGAACTGCTCCCGTTCGTAGCATTTGTACTTTCAGTCAGTGACGAGACATGCTCGGAAAAACCCCCCGATTACGGATTCGAATTTCTGCTAAGAGAACTCCACTCAAGTGTGCCTGTGTAACCAACTGAAACATCATCTTTTCACCTCAATCAACAGGCTTGAAAACATCGCAAGATCATTTCTATGATTGCGCACTTTCAACAGTATCAAGGCAGTGAGTTCCAACTGAAGAAGTTTCAATACCTTTTGTTCGAGTTCATTCTTTTTGTAGTTAATAGAGATTGAGTAGTAATGTCTGTTCAGACCATGTATCAGAGCCTACAAAGGAAACAAAAGGAACATGGGTCAGACTATGCAGGTACTCGTGAATACGAATTCCCAACATTTCATCTACTTCCCTAATTTTTTAACAAGGATACCTGTATTGAAGGCTTCTGTAAATGTCCAAGATTTGAGGTCGTCTGTCGCGACTCCTGACCAAGGACCATCATGTTCGGATTAATGAGACGGAATGCATCTATAACAACCTGCGGTCGAAAAAAAATACAAATACAAATATAAACACGAGTACCAGTATTGTTTGGTAAATGGCGTTTTCCTGGGCAAATACACGTTTCACAGCTGTACAGCACACGTACATGTAACTTATCACAATGTCACAAGTATGAATTGTCCAAGAAAGCTGCCCAACCTAAATTTTTTTTCACAAGAGTCTGTACTGTCTTCCACAGAGTGAACCGGAATACTCTTACCTTTCCTTTTACACTCTGAATGGGATCGACAACAACTGCAACAGCTCTTTCAGAGAGTGCTTCAAAACTCTGTGGAAATAAAAAGAAGATAAAAAAAAATGGGTACAAAATTGCATTTACACTTATAACAAGTTTGGAAAAGAATCTTTTTTTAATCTGAGTCACCATGTTTCATAAGCGTGGGTGGCTTATCTCCAGGGCCCAGTTGTTCAAAAGCTGATTAGCGCTAACCCAAGGTTAAAATGTTAATCTGGGTTTCTTTATTCCTTTACTCAAAAGCCTTTTTTGGGTTAATTTCCTGTGTTCTTTTTAGAGCATCAAAGAGTCATACTCCTGACAAAAAGAATTCGACTGAATTTTCTTTTAAAGCTATCAGATCTGAAATTAGATTCCACACTAACCCTGGGTTATCTTAAACCCAGCTTTGAACAAACCAGCCCAGGAGTTAAGGAGGAAGGGAATGATCACTACTTTTGGGATTGACCCTTTCAGGGGGGTCACCTCAATGCGGGGATTGCTACTTTTATTAAGAATGCTTTTTCAAACCTCCAATAAAATTCAATAAAAAGTAAAAACACACAACAAAAGGGAAGCAATTTGGTAGCTAACGTACGTATATATGTATACTAATTTGACCACCCCCCCCCTTGGGGTTCTCAAGGCCAATAAAAACAAATTGGAAACAAACAATGTGAAAGAACATAATGTTTTTAAAAATCCCAACTGGCAGGCAGTAGACTGGTTGCCATGATATAAAGTGCAGCAAAGGAGCTGAACTACACTGTTGGGCAGAAGCTTGAACCCAGGGCCACTAGATTACAAGTCCTTCACCCTAACCACTCAGCCACAATGCCACCACCACAGTGAGAGGAGTACTGAACACAACTATTCTTGATTGTGCCACAAGACAATTTGACAACCAGGGCAATTCAACACCCTCAATAGCAGTCCTTCATTGAAGACTGCAACTAATTGAAATAATCACAATACCAAATCAATCACCTGTTGAGTGTTGATATCAACTCCTGAGAGCCAACAGCCAAAGCCTGGATGAGAGTGGTACCAGCCAACCACCATTTCTGGCCTGAAAAAATACAATGACATTTAACAAATTTACATGAAAAATGCCAGCCGTGAGGTTATTTTTTAGCCAGTGCCAAGCTCTCAGGAATGGCAGACAATCAAATAAGCATTTGAGCAATAATTGGTGTGGTTCTCTGTAGGAGTGATGTCTCTATCCTCAGTCCCCCTCCATTTTAATCTCTAAGAGAAACTTTTTTTGCTCGTAATGAAATGAAATGAATGATGTTTTGACCTGCAGCTTATATACAAAGCTAAAAAAATGATCAATGCAGGTAGGTTGCAATTGCTTTCACAGCAAATTACCCACACCTAGAGCAAACTTGCAGATAAGTTGCAAACTTCAACCTCTTAAAGTAATCTGCAGACTTTTAACTTTACAAGCATCCCTGTCTAGGGATACAGACCTTTACAAATAAAATCCCACCTAAAGTAGATATTCATTGCTCTTATAGATGAACAGGCTATTGTCTACTGTTCTAAAGGATCTACCAGACAGTATACCTGCCAGTTTGCTTCAACATGTCCAACATCTTAGCTTGAAAAACAGGATCAACAGCCTCCACACTCACACCCTGTCAATAAATAACAAATAAATACCTCAAATTATAGAAAAATAATTAAGCACTGCAAGGCCTTTTACAGGTTAGTGTGCAGTGATACTGGGTAAACATTTGCTAAATACCAGGCAAAAAGTTCAAAACAAAAGGCTTACAGATTAAATTTTCTCCCAACAATTTTTAATGTGAACTTACTGTTCCACTTTGCGGCATGGCAAACACATCAATCACTCGCACAGTGTAGTCATCCACAAATTCTCCCAACATTAGACCCATAACTTCCATTGGAACACCTGCTCTGCCTGAAAAAATAAGAGTTAATTTTTAAAAAAATTAATGGTAGATGGATGAATGTCCCTCTACAGGTTCAAATTCAAATTCAAATGATAATACAGTAAATTATTAGCCCAGAAACTTTATGTTCCATTGTCAAGAACCTCTCCATCAAGTATTTTATCTTAAGCAGACTGAAGAAATGGAGGAAATGGGCTAATTCTTGTTTCATCCACTCCTTTTAATAGAGGTCCCAGCTGGTATGTTGTTGTTATCAACTAGCAGAAGGCAAAAGCCCAATAGACACATTCCACTTATATAAAAATTAGAATAGAAATGGAAATTATCTCATTAACAAAAGCAGACTGAAAAGCCCAAAGCATCAACTGTTGTCATGAACTCTTTACATCATTAACTGAACTGTACAATGTGTGACAGCCCAACAAAAGTTAGATTAAAACTTATCAATTCACAAGTTTTACTTGCTCCAAGTAATATGTTAACCCTTTACATCCCAACATCAGTATGCATATTCTCCATACTGTCCATAATATAATCTTTTAAGGGTGCTGACAAGGAGAATTTGTTTAACAATCAAATGCGTCTTTCATTGGTGATCATTTCCTTAATTTTTGTGACCTTTATTCTTTTTTCTATCCTTTGTGACCTTAATTCAGGCTGATGATGTGAGGAGAAATTAGATGTTAGTCACCCTAAAGGGTCAAAAAATTAAATTAAGTGGTGGAAAATGCCATCAAATTGGTTTCATCTCCGGAATTAACCAATATACAGTGTATCATATTAAATTATAACTTACCATGTTTTAACATCTTTCCAGGAGTACATTCAGGAATTAAAAGTAAATTGAATGAAAGAAAAATGTTAGAATTTCAACAATTGTAAATGAACATTAAAATCATAACATTCTGGAAACATTACCAGAACATGACTTGGTGTAATTCTAAAACAACCCACATGGCATGTGGGGATATAAGTATGTGACATGGTATCTAAGTGAAACAATTTGTTGCCAGTTGCGAGTTTCATGTGAAAAAATATTATCATACCTTAAGAAGAGCTAGTGAAGAGATATAAACTTGTTCTGCAGTGTCAACAACTGGTGCATCACTTGGAGGAGCCTGAGGTGAAAATGAACATGTGATCACATCAGATATCTCCACATAACAAATTCACATGAAACGGAGATAAAGGTATTCTGACATGTCTTAAAATATGATTATGAGAGGAAATCAAGATTATTCACTTACACTTCATTTTGGTTGAGTTAGATCGATTTACAAATAGTTTTAAACAACACGACCTCGTTCCTCTAGCTCTGCTGGTTCCTTCAATTAAATGTAGCTCGTTGTTTAATTAGAGTAAGTAGAATCTTTTGTCAAATAAAGCTTATTAACTTTGAATTGTTGCCCCGAAACTGACTTGTAAGATTGTAAACGGTTTAAACACGAGTACAACATCGAAAGATGCATGGTGAACGTCCGGATGAAGAGAGTTGTGTGAAAAACACAGTTGTTAGTGTCAGAGACCGGCGTTTTCACCGCATTTCTACAACCTGAGCGGAAATCATCTTCAGAGTGAAGACTCCCAAGGTTACATTCGTCATTTTAAATACAGTTAAGCTAAGAATACGATCCTTAATTATGTCATAATAGCATACTTTATACAAAAAGCGTATTTTCACTGGATACAACTGAGGGAAGTGGGTCAAATCAAACTTTGTTAAAAATTATTGTTTCAACGTGTTGAACGAGAATTTGTGAAGGTTTTTAAACATCGTTGTGTCTCGTTATAAAGCGTACGTATCAATAAATAAACAAACCTGCCCGACCCCAGGAATACCACCAGATCCTAACCGTAATATTCTGTCCATCTTAAGGAAAGAAAAAAATTTAGTTCCTTCAATGTGAAATGACAATGCAGTTTTCAATATGGCGACTTCACAATTTGTGTGGTGTAACAGTCATATAGTGATTTAGTTTGGTTATAACCGCTGATATACCGCTGACTCTAAAACTAACCAATCGGTGCTGAAGCGAGGTCATATCTGATAACCTTTAGGTACATTACTCTCACCCGAAAAGAATAGAAAACAATACTACAACGAAAATAAATAAACAAAAAGAGCAAAAAACAAAAAAAAAAAAAACAGAAGAAGAAACAAAAGTCATCTTGACCTCATACCCCTTCTGGTCAAAACCTTTTAAAATAATTGAAAATTGACAGTAAAGACGTGGTGCATGCTTACATATGAAAATGAAACCAGCCAGCTTAAAAGCTTGCACGGATAGTTTTCATATCATCAGAAGCACACAAAGCATCAGGGCACTTTCGCTTTAGAGTTCTTTAGACTAGTATGAAAGAATCATCAAATATGGGCACGAATACTATATCTAGACTTTTCCTATCGGAGTTGTTATTGTTCACCATTCTTGGAGGCTTTCCGTTTTCTGCTCAAGGTGAGATTAGGGTAAAAACTTTCATCGTGTTTAACTGGGCGTATTTTTAGTTTTTGCATGGTGACACTATGATTAAGAGTGAGGTTGAATTTGCCAAAACCGTCAAACTTAGCAAAAATCGAGGCCCACGAATTTGTCCACCGATTCTACCTTCAGTCTCATCCTAAGAAGGGGCCCATTATTGGGGTGAGGTATCGAAGGCAGTGGTTGAAAACTTGCCTGGGCAACGACCTGGATTTTCGCACTAACAACGCGGTTTAACAAGCACTAATTTCCTTTGATAAGACCTGTATTGTTTGCAATTCGTTAGAAATATTTGTTGTTCGAGAATTTTTTTATTTCCACGAATATAAATGATGCTTTGGAGGATTTACAAAAATCAGGGGATACGCCCCCTCATGAGGTAAATTCCATCAAGATAAATCGTAAAACAGATGCCATTAAAATACTCTTTGTGTCTTTGGAGTTCCTAAGAAATACATTCGATAATTTAAGCAAAGAAAATACATCCTTTTTCAAATGCCCATAGATGTAATTCAGAATTCGATCCTTGTTTCTGATACGTACTGCCTTAAACAGTCCTTGATATTGCGTCTGTTAAGCTGCATAGAGGCCCAATAAAATTAGATTGTCTCTGAAGTGGAAAGTCAAAATACCCGAGAGCGATTGATGGATATGAAATTCCTTAATTCCTTCCTTTTGTTGTTAGAAACATATTTCGAATAACCTTCTTCAATAGCTTCTCTATGTGCGTTTTAAATCGGTTTGACCAAAGAAGAGGAAAATGCTTTCAGGTGTAAGAATCGTTTTATCGCATAAATTGAAGGCTGCGGTTTTTTCATCAAAACAATCAGCCGATGGGTGCCATGAATAAATTTCAAAAATCGAGTTCTCGGCTCTCGTACCAAGTCTTTCTTGACAATTGGGTACGCGTCCCTTTTGGGATCGAATCATCATCGAAATGAATGGCATGACAATTAATTGCAACTGTTCAAGGTGAAATGCAATTCTACTCTGTAATTTAAACGTTATCCACAGCTTGACACGAGACGATGAACCAATTTTGATTCAGGTTAGGTATATTCGTTTTCCTTCTTTGAGCAGTCCGTTTCTCGAATCCAGTCTTTGACACATAATCGGGAAATCACTTCCGGGTGAAACGAATCACATCAAAGCAAAATGGGAAACAATTTCGATACAGCAGAAATGTGCTTCGAATTCTTTGGGAATGTCACTGCTCTACAGATTGTTTATGTAGGAAAGTTGAATGCCAGTTGAGTAATCTGAAAGAGTGGATCGATTGAACACTGATAAACAAAGTCATTCATTTGTATACAAATCAATCATTGTGTGGCATTGGAACAGGCTGGATTTATCAATAAACGCAACATTCAGATAAGTTTACTGTATCTACACATCCATCAATAGCCTGCAGGACCGGCGTGATTTTTTTGCGTTTTCGGGCGAACGGAGGCAAGCGCGAGGTGAGCTTGAAGTGCGAGTCACGCGCGAGGGGAGGAACGGGTTCTTCAGGCTAATTCGTCAAAGACTCTTTTGACATAACTGTGTTAGGACCAACAAACTTAGCGCAATTCTAAGTGAGGATGGCCACTTATGCCTTATGGGATTAGGTAAAACCCCGAGAAAAAAATTTGAAAAGCCCCCTGTGAAATGTATGGTAGGGCAAGTCCATTTAATGTTATAGTCAGGAAAGGAGAAGAAAACGAACATTATGGCGTGAAATAAGGTTAGCAGCCTAAGCCTCAAGAGTCCATACCTGAACCTTCCCTTCCTCCAAACACTCAATCTTCCCCGTCACTATCGTCTCCCCCACCACAGTCAGTATCTGAACAGAGTCATCTCTTTCATTAATCAGGAATTCCCTTCCAAGCTGGAAATCTGAATATATCAAAGACCTTACAGGACTGGAGCTGTAGCAGTGGGTGTACGCCTTCTTTTCACTGTCGGTTGCCGCGCTGTACGAACGTTGTGTTCCCTACTGCTTTTAGTGGGAGGGTAAGTGTGAAACAAGCATGCGGGGGAAAGTGGGGGAGGGGGAGAGTTTGAGGATCGATCAAGGTAATAGGCGGGTGGAAAGAGTAGTTGTAGAATGTGGCATAGACTAAGAGGAGACCGTAGAGTGAAAGCTAAGGGAGCTTGAAGGAGAGCATATTCACAAGGTGTGCCACAACCTTAGGGTCATGATCGTACAACTTTTGTTATCGGTGAGTTTTTTTCTTAATTTGCGCGAGATTGAAAACTGGCATGATTCTCACGTTGACTTAGTTAACAGCGTTTAAAAAACTGAGAAAAGAGTAGGTAATAATGTACTTATCACAATGTCTTCAATGTAGGTCCAAGTTTACGTGACGGTTAGCCATGATGAGAAGTTTTCGCGCGTCCATTCACCCTCAGCTGTGTGGGTTCAGTCTGTCACTACACGTGGCTTTGAGGTGTGTGCACGTGAGTCAGGCATTGGATCAAATGGAACAGGAATTATCAACTGGTTGGCTTTCCAAGGTCATCCACAAATGACGCGTGGTAGCGTTACTTTTAGCGGAATATGGACAACGGAAACAAAATGCGACAAGATAAATTTATCTCAGGTTAGATGAAAAAAAAAAGGCTAAGAAGTACACTGCGTGTTTTTTTCGTTCTGATTCACGCTCTTGGTAGGTGTTTCGCTGATGTGGTCCTGCAAAAACTTAAGTAAAAAATGACACTTGGTGCCAGATTTGATTTTTTTTTGCTTAAGACTTCAATTAGGTCAATTTGCAACTAATACGAGTTGCGAAACGTTTCCTTTTGTTCCTTTTGAAAGCTGTTTTCATATGATTATTATCTACCAAACTTACCAGGACAAGGTCAATCAGTGTGGTGAATCAGGGTTATCAGTCTTGCTAACACAAAGCTGACTTGACATTACTCGACGTTTCAATTTATTTGTTTTCATAGATCAAGATATGTTTATGTATCAAAGTACGAAAAAATTGTTCCAGATAGGTAAAACAATTGTCCCTGTTAAGTAAAACAGGGCTAAATATCCGCGCATTGAAAATACCGCTCAGAATAACGGGGTTTATTGTATCGAAAATAAAAACCAGTTTTCACGGTAAATATTTGAAGTGCCTTTCATTATGATATTGACGCATTCTAGGGATTTGTTGGAACACCTCACGTCTTTGTGTCAGCAAAGTATACACGAGACACAAAGCCAGATGATGCCATGTATGTTTGGTTAGAAAATGTCAGTTCTAAAAGTTTCGAGGTTTGCATACGTGAATTCTTACCGTTTGACGGGAAACATCAAGACACAGTTGTGGTAAGTTAACTTAATTTACATCGTTATTTGTATCGCGTCTCTTGCAACACATAACTCGAAACTCGAACCTCCAAATCCAAAACTCAAACCGTGAAACTTTTAACTCAATACTCGAAGCTCGAAGCATGCGCAACACACAAGATTGAAACTTCCGACACATTGTGTCTCACAGTCGCACATTTTACATGCAGGACTGGTTTGCGTTCACTGGTAATGGTTCTGAGTTCAACTTTTCGAGAGCAGGTGAAGTGAATTTCCCAAATAGTGGCATCCCTAAAGCTGAAAATAACTATGGTTTCTGCCAGGTGAGTGTTGCGATTTCTGTTCCAATTTTTTAAAATTTTACTTTAATTTAATCTTTATCATCGGAAACTCGAATTACTTGTCTATTTTCACATGAAGCTGCTCTTTTCGCCCTTTGAAGAAAGAAAATAGTGGCGAAGCTTTTACGCGCGAGGCACGTTAGCGGAGCCTCATAGCTAAGAAAATAAGGTAACTTACTAAGCAGAAAAAAATTGGGTCGTCACAAGATTGCTACAGTCCATACGCGAAACTGTTATTTTTATGTGCGCGTGTGTGTGTGTAATTAGCAACTCAAATTTGCATTGAGGCTTGGCAAAATCTATATAGAAGAAGAGGGCTGGAAGTTTTTCAAGTTAAAAATATTACCTTGTCCTATCTTTTGCCGAAAGTCTCATCTCTTTCATTCTGGGATACCCTTCAAGGTAATGCTACATTACTGATCCTTTTTCCTCCGCAGAAAGCGCACTTCAACACCACCTTTTATGCATCACCAATTGTTCTTATTTCTGTCCATCACTTCTACAACCCTCAAGTCAGTGTGAAGAGTTCCAGTTCCCCAGAAAATAACATTGTTACAGCATGGGTCGAGGTAGGCTTCTTATTTGTTTCAGATATTTGGAGCTGAACCAGTAATAAAATGCGGCACAAATTTTTTTTACCTTACTAGAAAATTAGGATCGCATAGGTTTGTAGATGATTTTATCTTTCCTGTCACTTGATTTTTATTTGGCTGATTGAAGGCTCTTCAGTTTCCTGCTTATGATGGGAGATATCACATAACCTCTGACTTGATAACAACACGCCTGTAAAGGTGTGCAAAAATCAAATTATGTTACATGACGCTTATTTACAAGATTTTGCCCTTCACAGGAAGTCGGTCTAACATCTATGACGATTTGTGTTAAAGACTTAAGCGGAGCTGGGAGTAAACATGATCCACTTTCCGTGAGCTATGTCGTGATTGGAGGTTAGTGCTTAGGCGACAATAATGATCTACACTCAATCTATATTTCATCCTACTCTAAGACAAGCTGAAATAAGTTTTGGACTTAAAAGAGATTTTGCCCCACCTTCCTTCCATATAAGAGACATGAATGCCCAACCTAGACTTCTCCTTCTCATATTCCACTTCGCACTCCCCATTCCGACATTTTTAAGGTGAAAAATGTAGAACTTCGCTGTTTGCTGGACATTATGTTCAATCGAATAAAGTTCTAACAACTTTCTAAATATATATCAGACATAGATCCATGCCTTGGCGTTTACTGCCCATCTTTTGGAGTTTGCAAAACTTACAGCGCCCATGAAGCTCGCTGTGTGTGTAATGACAATTGTCCGTCCTATCAAGATCCGGTGTGTAGCGCAAACGGAACAACGTACGACAATGAATGTCGGTATAAGTTGAGCTACTGCAGGGGACTGGACAATAATACGATGTACCATCCAGGAAGCTGTGAGGGTATGTGCCTTGTTACTTTATATTTCATTCATCACTTTCTTCGTTCGTTCTTTGGTTCATTTGGTCAGACGGTCATTACAACATTCCGTTCTTATTTCTTTCCTTCCTTCCCTCTTTCATTCACTCACTCACTCATTTATACTCTCTTCTACCATAGCGAAAAGACAATATTTACGAGGAATAACGCAATCCTTTTTTGATGCTCATTACCAGGTTTTCCATTCCTGCGCGGCCGTGTTGAACTCCTTCACGTTCCAAAATGGTCTGAGTCAGGCTGTAAGACAGTCATTTTCCCGCCATACCGATTTTACCCAAACAAAGACGTCCACGTTCAACTTACTGTGAACCACATCAACCTAAATGACTCCGTGACAGTACATCACGCAATCACTTTATGGACAGAAAACGTCAACACTCAAAATTTCACAGTCTGCGCCATGCAAGCCGGAAGGAATGGAAACAACTTTAACCCATTTGCGACTGTGGACTGGATGGCCTACCAAGGAGCACCGATAAATGCGGTGGGTGGAAAAATTAAGGTTCAAAAATGGTGGTCTGGGACCAAATGCGAAGATGTGACCTTTCCTAAGGTAAGATAGAGTCCGTAGGTTCCAAAACACTGACATTTCTCTGAATCACGATGTTGTTTACTGGTCATCGTCCTTAGCGTTTTTTAATTGGTTAAGAGCCTCAAACATACTGTCAAGCGAACTGACGACGGGATGTCATTAGACCAGACCTCTTGGAATTTACTTTCGAAGGCAACGTTTATTTTAGATAGAAACGCGAGAATGTTACCTTTAGGGATCCCTTCCCTAAAAATACTTCTATCTATCGAAGGTTGCCATCCCTGAGAAGAATCAAAGGCGTACGTAATTATAAAAAAGAATCATATTCTGATTCTTTCGTGGTAGGACATGTTTAAGGAAGATCCAGTAACTCTTGTGACGGCTGAACACGTAAGGACTGGAAAAAAGTACGATGCTGCTTTAATATGGACAGAGGATACAACCAAAACCTCATTTAAAGTTTGCCTCCGTGAAATGCAAAACTTTGATGGAAAACACGAAGACATATACGTGGTAAGTTTCCGATAACTTTTTTATCATTTACTTTGTTCTGATTCAGTGTTGTTATCACCAAGCGTTCTATTTTACGATATTAAATCGAAAAGCAATTCACAAACTATCCAGCATTTTTAAAGCTAGCTATAATTTAGACACTTTCTCTTTTTTAGGGTTGGTTGGCATTTTCTAAGCTGCGCAAACCTCTCTTCACTGAGTATGGCTCTGTAAAGTTTCCAAACACGAAGCAGCCATCAGACGAAAGCAACAATGCCTATTGTGAGGTAATGTCTATGATAATTTTGATGAGGAAAAAAAAAATTTGAGGCCACAAACGAGATGCTAGAACAGTTTGATAGATAAATAAATTAAACTGATTATTCTTAAGATGCTTCCTCGAGTTTCTTAAAACTATTCTAATAGTTTTTATTTTACTTTCGAGTAATAGTTTGTGCATTTTACAAGGAGCTACAACGTGACACCATCAGTTTTAATCACAGCCAATCACAGCACCTCAGAAAGTGGAAATTCGGCAGCGGTTCACAATGGAATAACAGCTTGGATTGAGGTAGGAGTTAAACCACGGGGCAAAGTTCAAATCTACTAAAACGTTTGACTGAATGCTGTCGCGTACCCAATGCAGCAGACACGGGGTGTTGTACACTGGATTTCGGGGAGTGTCAACCGCTGTGTAAGAATCGACAACACAAGTTGATCTATCAACGTTTAATGCTATCGTCTGAATATCATACCCATGCAGTGAAAACTAAAAAGAGGAAATTGCAATATACAAGATTAAAAATGGGCTGAGGCTTACAATATAAGCGAAATCGAAAGGAAAACGAAACTAATTACAATAGGCTGGAACTTACGTCTGATCCTGTCTTTGGGGCTTAGAGAAGCTGCAATGTTACGTAACTGGAACAATCTTATGTGAAAAGAAAGTCTGATCTATCTCCGTCGATCTCCTAACTCCAACTGACTCGATACTTAAGGGTCGTACCGTTATAAGGGTATAATTCATGTGTACAATTGTAAACTGGTTTATCAGGAATATTACCCGAGTAGGTAATTCAAGCTGTAAACAGTAGCACACTGTATTTGGAAATAGGGGCGTAAACTCGACAAGGAAATAAAACAGAAATTTTCTATTATAAATCAAAACAAAGGCGATTACGTGATCAAAGTCTTCTTTGAATGTTCATTACAACTGCTGTAGAAGAAGTGATTCTCGTAAAAAATAGACCAGAACAATACACTATAGTTGATAAAGTTAGCTCAAAATTGTGGATTACTTTGGTTTTTGAATGACAATATGCAATCAAAAGCCTTCCTGGAAAAATATTATCTTACCTACTGAACCCAACAACCTAGACCTAGCTGAGAGATGATCCCAACCCCGGCCATTTTTTTTTTCTGCCTGCATCAGGTCTCTTACACTAAGCAGTTCTGTTATGTTTTAATTATGTTTTCATCGTACCAATTCTAATTAGAATATGAACACAACAGGCTTCAGAACCTGCGTAAAAGAAGTGTATGAAACTCGATATGATCCACTCTCAGTCAGTTATGCCGTTGTGACAGGTCAGTAAACCTTACTTCAGAAAAACTTGAAAATACTTGCAAATAGGACAAAGGTGAAAAGTTTAGTGACCCCCTTTTAAGGTTCGCTATCAAGAAATTTAGTGCAAATGAAACAGAGTCTAAGGACGGAGAAACCAAATTTTTCCTTACTTGATTTTGAGAAGTAGCCAAACACTCACACTCCTTGGAGCTATCAGTGCTTCATTTCTCTTAACAGTTTTCACACCCTGGCAAATGAACAGGTTATGGAAACCTAAAAAAGTCATCAAACTTGGGATGTGGTTCGGATTTAATTAGAAGCAGTTTTTAGGACGAACTAGTAAAGAAATCTGTTTTCACCATTTAAAAGAATCAGCTTTCAGCTCTTGAGAGTTTAAGGGCCAACCAATACTTTCATGTCTCTTTTTCCAGATATATGTGATCCAGGGTGGAGTTATTTTAATGGTTACTGCTACTTCACGAGTGAAACCTGTACAAACTGGACAAACGCATTAAAAAAATGCCACGACAAGAATTCAGTCCTTATTGATGTCAATACCAATGAAGAAAATGTCTACATACAACATCGCCATAATGGAGATAATTCATGGCTGGGTTTGAATGACAGATCAACAGAGGGCGACTTTACTTGGGTGGCCCATGGACATGGAAATTTTACAGCCTGGGCCAAAAATCAGCCAAATAACTTCAAAGAGGAGGATTGTGTGCACGCACTTGGTGTGAAATACAATTATGAATGGAACGACGTGCAGTGTAGTGATTGTCATCAGTTTACTTGTAAGAAAGGTAAGCGCACAATATTAAGTTTAAACAACTTTGTAATGTGGAAACGGAGGCTCAGCTCGGGATCTACGATATGGTGACACTTATAACCTTTTATCAGTTTCAAACATAGTTCTAGTTCTAGTTCTAGAAATAATTTAGCTTGATTTAATGATACCTCACCTATTTAAATTATGATACCTCACCAAGTACTAAATTATAGTTCCATTGTGATTACAGACTTGAACGAATGTAATAAAGAGACGCATCACTGTGACCAGAGTTCGTCTTGCTCTAACACGCAGGGTTCGTACAAGTGCGCGTGCAATCAAGGACACGTTGGAGATGGATTTTCTTGTTATAGATACGCAAGTAAGTATTTCTTTAACAAAATTGTAATTAGTAATTTTTCTAACAACCAAAAAACAACGAAGAAAACGATATGTCTCCATCGAAGATTTGATATTAAATAAAAACGCATCTTTGCCTGAGGCGAATACTTCATAGCTAGGCCACGCTACAGTTGACTTATGTACTGTTGCCTTTTATTCTTTTTAGGAAGTTAAGGTCAGTTTTAGACAAGCGAGAACATCGAAGTGTGATTTTAAAACTTTCGCTATATGTCTCCTCGTAGGAGGCTTGGAATACTCAAGTATCGTGGGAAACAGTCAGTATTTCCTAACCTGGCTTAGTGAATGGTTGGAGCCTGTGACTCGCTCTTCTTCTTACTGGAATCGTTGCTATCGGGCTTCTGTAAATGGCTGGTCCACCTATAACTTCCACTCGTGTTGTGATGGTAAAGGTCCCTCGGTTACTATCATCCGGGTGGGAAAATATATTTTTGGGGGATACACAAGTTATTCATGGAGTAAGTCGCCCCCGTATGTGTGTGTATATATATATAAATATATATATACATAAATATTATGAGAGGGAAAAAGGGACGCAACTACATTTCCCGACAAGCCTGTTTCGTGAAGCGATTCACGAAACAGGCTTGTCGGGAAATGTAGTTGCGTCCCTTTTTCCCTCTCATAATATTTATTCTGCTCTGCTTCAACGTATTGAGCACTGTTCCACGCGAAAATCGACTTGCAGACTTCCCATATATATACATATATATATAATGTGTAAAATTTTGACTTTCGTAAAAAAGTGCTCAATACATAGGAATAGAGCGATGTATATATTGTGGGAGGAAAAAGACAAATGAACTACAAGTTTATCCCTACAGACCTGTTTCGAAATTGTAGTTTATTTGCCTTTTTTAGGGGCTTTTTTTAAATTGTAGTTTATTTGCCTTTTTCCTCTCACAATATATATATGTATATATATATATATGTGTGTGTGTGTGTGTGTGTGTGTGTGTGTGTGTGTGTGTGTGTGTGTATATATATATATAAAGAGTAAAATTTTGACTTTCGTGAAGCAGTGCTCGATACATAGGAGTAGAGCGATGTATATATCGTGGGAGGAAAAAGACAAATAAACTACAAGTTCATCCCTACAGGCCTGTTTTGTGGTTGCCCACTCATCAGGGAATTTAATGAGAATAATCTTTACCATCGCTTATATACAACATAATCTAATTTATGCAGCGCGAAATTTAACAGTTTAGTTGTTGCGTAGAAGGGCTTTGTTTCTGTGGAGGCAGGAAGACACGAGTTCATTACGTTTGTCTAGTGTTGATAGTTCGGGTCGGCAGATGATTAGGAATTTTTCTTTGACGCAGAGATTACATCTTTTACTTGAGCTGTTGTACGGCGAGTGTGATGAGAGAATGCGCCAGGAAATTCGATGTTGTTGTCTTTGAGGGTCCAGATGTGCTTTCTGAGTTCGGTGGAGTTTCTGTGTTTAGCGCGGCAGAATGATGTGGTGTGGTTTCTACTAACATATCGTTCTAATAACACAGAACGGTTCTGATACTAGTAATAGAAAAAGGAAATTATGTGTTTGCAGGAAAGAAAGAGTGTGAATGCTGTATAAAACTTAACCAACATCTTTATTTCATTTTCCTTTCTGAATTAGCTTACAGTTGTGCGTACCGGTACAGTGCATCGGCCTTTGTGTTCTCATTGGTTAACAAGCCAGGCTGGGTACCAGTGAAACTGTCTCAAACACGACAGTCTATTTCTGATCCCACTTCCACATACAGTTGTTCAAGGTATGGACCCACATTTGGTGGAGGACACGCTATTTGCATCGCAAGCTACGCCTCATCCAACAAAAATTCTTACTCAAACCCTGGATACACTTACAGTCCACCATCTGGCCACAGTTATGGCAGCTCCTTCGCCCGATCGTTCATGGCAGGAAGTTACAAATTTCAACCTGATGAAGTTGAAGTGTTTTATGAAACTACTTGAAAGAAACGAACCTCAGGGATACTACTCTTGTCTCGATTTTTGCAAAAACAATAATCTTGAACAGATGGTTATTCAATCGTGCTAAAAGCATTCGGATGTTAGCATCAGTGTCCAATAGAGAGTTAGCATATCCTGAGAGAACTTTTGCGAATGACAAATACTGAAGCCCTGACAGTTAGTAATTTACAATCACTTCAAGACAGAAGAATCATAGCGTGCGAAAGGTTTATTACCAGTCTTAAATCAGATAACTCTGCGCACAAGCTCGTTAGAGGTCGCATAGTAGATACTCAATAGTTACGCATTAAGATCTAGAGAAAGAAATTTAAATATCCGTGGCACCTCGACCATCAGGTTTAAGAACTTCATTTAAAACAAGTACGCTTTATGCATTACACGTGACTAGTTTTGCCATTATTTTGTCATTATATACTTGTTGGTTGCTAATACAATCAATTTTTCCCTAGCTATATATTTTGTGTTATTGCTTTATTATTCTTTGCCGGTCAGACCTGTAATTCAGTTACTTATTCTGCAAGAGGTCTTAATAAACATAAAAATACAATTCTGTTGAAAGTGGTCAATCGATGAAAGCAGTTTTTTTTTATCTTGTCAACAATGTTGAAGGAAGTTTTCAAAATAACTTTAATTCTCATCAGAAAGGTTTGTAATCAAAAAATAATTAGCAGTGTGATTGTGTGGTGGGTATTGTTCATCTTTACAAGGATAGAAAAAAAGATAAGGAAAATATTAAATGATAAATTCGTAAGCTATGGAATTTTGGTTTCGAGTTCACTCAGACCGTGTGTTCGTTTATTCCATATACGAATGGCCACTCGGCTGACAGGATTTGTATTAGATATCAGGTACTACCCTATCTCATTAACACCCTAACATCAGTATGCATATTCTCCCTACTGTTCTCTATATGTATCTTAAGGTACTGACAACGAGAATTTGTTTAAAAATCAGAAGATTCTTCAGTTGGCGACTATTTCCCTTATTCACCTTAATGTTTGGTTCACTCTCAGGGGTCAGAGGGTTAGTTTCAAGTTGATTTAATAGCTTAAAAACAACTTCAACAGGAAACGTACCTTTATTAACATTTCCTGGTCGAAATCCTTCAGTACTGTGGCAGATTAGCGAGACTGTTTCTTTCCTGTAAAAAAAACAAACAAACAAACAAACACTAACAGATTTTACTACCCTATGAATCATGTAATCACGTGTAAGCTATCTTTATTAGTTGCCCTCTGGGTCAGCATCAAACACAATGAGAAGCCAGTTATTAAGCAAAAACAAGCCAGAAGAAAATCAATGATGACCAAGGTTAAAAAACCATTCATGGCTTATGGATTTTGGAAACGTAAGCCGTTAATGTTTTTCGAATTAGAAATTTTGAATGCATGTTAATCCACTCCGTGTTTAATTATCAATATGGCTTGAACACGCACATTATAAAATTGCAATTTTTAAACTGATCTTTGCCAAACTATATTCAACAACTATCCGTCTTATTAGTTTGATCGAACATTAACCTTTCATAATTTTAAGTTAACGTGTTCGTTTGAATTTTGGCTAGCAACAGGTTTTTACCTACTTTCCCTTTTTAAATGGCTTATTGCAAAGTAGAAAAAGAAAACGTAAAACCTACAGTTATTGAATTAATCCCTCTTTTATCCCCTTTACATGAAGGGGAAGCAAATTCGACGAAAAAAAAAATATATATTATACTTTACCCTTCATAGAGGTTAAAGTATAACGCCCCGTTTTCGAGGTTCTGCATTCTGTAACAAACGCATCCATTAAATGGTTCAAGACTTGCATTGTTATCAAACGAGGTTTTGCACATGCGTATGTATTTACTATAAGGGATCGCTATGAGAGATAACTGTTTTTTTCTTGGTATAACTAGTCTGTTATGAAATCGTGACGAAATCCTTGGTCTTGCCAGTAAGCCCTAAAATGCCTCCTTAATCCGTTTTGAAGCTTATTTTTCTCCTACTTTGATCAGTGAATTCGTACTTAAAGAAAAGGGCCATAAAAGACTGGTATCCCTTTGCAGGTGGCTGTAGAATAATCCTCAAAACAGTTTTGCAATTACTTTTACAGAAGAGATCTCGCTTCTGAGTCTGGAATACTTTACAGAAGGTTTTCAAACTAAATAACAAAAAGACAAACGGCTGAGTAATCTACAAATTGCATTACCCTGTGAATCATTTGGAAATGTGTATCATGCTGCTACGTGATGTTATTGCCCTCTGGGTCAGAATCAAACACAGAGATGGACAATTTGCGTCGGTGAAATGGTATTGTTTTCTTTTCATACACACTATAGTTTGGTTAAGTAGGAAGCTATTTCGGCCAAAAACAACAGTGATTTAAGTATTGAATTATAAATCACAATTCACAGATACAGATCACAGTCATCCGGTGGAAAGTAAGTCTTTGAGGATGAGTTGTTCAACTATGCTGATGCTGACTGTTCTCATCTTTGGAAGCTTATTATTAGCTGTAAAAGGTAAGACTTCGTGCATTAGTCATCCCGTCACGATCAAGTAGGATAAAATCACCTTCACATGAACAAAATCGATATTGAACTGAAGACTGTGGTACAGAAATTCATGGTATTCTCCCACAAACTACGGCTTCAAATGTATCAAGTCTGAGTTAAAGTTATCACTTTGTTCTTCAGTCATCTTTTAAGGCTGTTACGACAGATCTCACTGCCGATCTCACTGTGATATAGCTTAGCTTCTTGAAATATATTTTGGAGGGAAAATAGATATAGTAAAGCAATAGGCTTCTGGACATCTCCTTCAGGTGTCTTCTCGTCAAAATTTGGCGGTTATGATAAAAGCCACCAAAGGGATGTCATTTCCGATAGAAATAATTTCATCTTTCGAAGTGTTATTGATCTTTATTTCAAGAGACTCATTAACTAATACATCAAAGCAATTCGAGAGAGAAAAAGTAGGTTTGCTATACAGTCTGTTGTGATCACCGTTCCATTCGTCAAACCTTCTCTAAGTTTCAATATTCCCTAGACTGAGGCCGGACTGCTTTAATTGTTGTTTCGGGCAGGATCCTTATCAGAGACTTTAAGACAGCGCAAGTTTTAACATTCATAGAAAGGTTTTTGTTGATATTCAAACAAAATTGTTCACTACCGAAAAATTTTATTCTGTTAGTAAATGCAGTTGTTACCTTGTTATCAGAGAACACACATACTTCTCTTGGGTAAGAGATTTTGAAGTGATATAGCTTCGTCATAAATGTAACTTCAAAATGTTTTTGGTAATTGCCACCTGAATGTCTCATTTTCCGTTTTGAAAAATTTTTTCTTTTTCTTTTGTAATAAATGCTTGAACGTAAGTTAAAGACCCTTGAAAGTTAAGCAAGGCTTACAGTGAAAGGCTATAAGACAGTAAATCCTTTAAGAAATGAAAACAATTTGGTTCACTTTTCATGGAAGCATAGAAATAACAAAGAATGATCAAGTTAGATAATCGCCTCTTTCTTTCATGAATCAACTTAGAGATTTAAAGAGTACGTTTTTTTTCTTTCCTCTGAATAAAGTCATTTCCAATGTGTTGGAACTTCTTTGTTAGTGTTAGAAATCTAATTTGGAATTGGTCATGTTATTCCACTTCCCTGTCTGAAATCGTTCACACAGAAGGATAAAAAAATATTTTGTTTACTGCATTTTGTAAATCATACAGTCAACCGATGTTAGGTCACTGTTTCTTCTCCTCTGACTTAAGCTTAAAATGAAAGGAAATTTCAGTCACGTGGCAGGTATTAGCTCGCAGAAAGACCACAGTTGCATCAAGTTGAACGTTCTGAGCTGTCAAGTCGTGAGGAATGTCATGTCTGATTTTTTAGTTTCTGTCCGACTGCTCATTGGATTGACGGTTGCTTGAATCCTACTCCATGTTATCTTACGAAACACCACAATACACGCCTAATACGACAAATGACTAAGTCGTATTTTCCTCGAGAAGAAGTTACCACCTTCGTATGGATACGCACGTTATAAAAAGTCTGTTTACATACCAGTATCGCTGTTTTTTTGGATGGTTACCGTTAGGTCTGCAAAACTTCAGAGCTGGAATGCCTTGACTTTGTCACCAAATCTTCCTCACTGGTTTTTCCCTGATCCATTCATGGAAAAAAGAGCAAAATCACCGAGTATTTGTGGAAAACAAACATGCTCTATATAGTAAAGTAACCAGAATAATAAATTCCACACTTGCGCTGCACAAAGAATATCAGCTTGTAAAAGATATCCGTCCTAGTTCACCTGATAAGGTCAAAATGTTAAACTGAAACAATTAACAAATCTGACTGCAAAGTCTAGTTGTCATCTAGAAGAGGAATTTACCTGCATTATCTGCTGAATAAGCTTCCTCCTTGAATATTTTTTCAAAGTGTAGAAAAACCAAAGCAAATTGACTGCAATGGTCCCGCAGAACGAAGGTTGACATTATCATTAGCCAGTGATAACTAAAACAGTAACCGCTTGAAAAGCGGGGAAAACGACAGGGACCAAATCGAGATTGATTTCAGTGTTGCATCAGATCGTTTGACAAGGTGACGCAAGAGTAAAGTTGTGCAAAGCCAGAACTACCCCCCATTAATTTCATCATTCAATTTGAAATTGCTCTCCATTCAAAGAGTTCTGTGCATGTTTGTCACGTTAGTAGTTTTTGTATGCGTATTTTGTTCCATCTGAACTCCTAGGTCAAGTTACAATGCCCAATATAAGTCAAATATTTCCCTTTTATCTCCCCTGTACGTTAAATGATCCTTTTAATAAAGATGCTTCTCCTTACTTGTAGGTATCTCCCTCCAAACTGGCAGGCTTAACATTTCTCAGACTCTGCAGGGCTGGAGCTGTAGCAGTGCTTGTTCACCCTCTCAACACTGTCGACTGCCTCGTTGCACAAACGTTGTATTTCCCAAAACATTCAGTGGATCGGGAACGGTAAGTACCAATTCACGATCCGGAGCATTTCTGGACACCATCCAACATCACCAGGCGGTAATGGAAGGCCTCCAGTCGAGCAGCACTGAAAAGATAGTGGTCTCTTTCCATTCGATCGATTTCATTTTCGAGCGATCTCTAGATCGAGCGGATTTTATTTTCCACCTCTCCCCACGTAAAACATGTTTCTTGTTTTATCCATGTTCTCCAGCTCCATGTCTCGCTCAGAGAGACCAGTGTAATCGAGTATCCTCTTCTTACTCGTCTACGGGACAGCAAGATGCGTCGATCATTTGAAAATGTTAAGTTATTTGGCTTGAAATACGTGTACAGATTATTCCTTTTATGTTAGCATAATCCCTTGTGCGTCCTGGCTTCAAAATTACAGGTTAACATTTATGTGACGGTGAGCCATGGTGAGAAGTTTTCACGTGTCCATTCACCCTCGGCTATGTGGGTTCAGTCCGTCACTTCACATGACTTTGATGTGTGTGCACGTGCGTCAGGTATTGG